CCCTCCTCCCCAGCTGTTATTCCTGGCAGCAGCTCTGCTTTGACTCCAGCATCCAGTTGCACTGCAGGATGCAAGATGGACCCTAGTCCTACTCGCATCCTGCTCAACTGAGGTCAAGAGGCAGGGCCTTTGCGGACACTGGAGAGGAAGAAAGAGCTCAGTTGGGTCTTCAGAGCCTTAGCAGGAACCTGTGCTGTGAGCTGGCAGAAGGATTTTGACTTACAAATGGACCTTTTGCTTGTGCAACACAGAAGAGTTGCTGAAAGTTTTAATTTCATTTTCTGCTGTGTCACTCTTATCCCCTCGCTTACCAAAGTTTTCACTGCTTGTGGCTAGCACCAAGTGCTTAATATGTACATTTGAGCTCCTGTGCAAGCCCCCGATCACTGGCCACGTCAGGAGACAGGGGCTGTCACCCAAGCCCCCTTGCTGCCCTGGTGTCCCTCAGTTGCTATGTGCTGGCACATGCCCTGCCCGCAGGCAGTGCTCGGGCCCTCATTCACCCTACCAGCAGCCTCCTGAGTGGAACACATGGAAAAGGAGGGAGCCAAGCCCCAGCCACCAAACAAAGCACAGCCCCATTTTCCACCTCCTCCCACCACCCAGCTGAGCAAGAAAAGACAGATGAGACACTGACCGGTGGCTTGCACGTTGACGATGGCACCCTGGGAACGCTTGCGGGTCATGGCATACCAAGATTTGTCTGGGTCCTGGATCCACTCTGCAGCCTCACAGTAAAACTCGCCCTGATCCGATGGGTGGAGGTTGTAGATGGTGAGCTTTGAGGTGGTCTCCCCAACTTTGTCCAAGCGAATGTCCCCTGTGGCTTGTCGCTGGGCGTAGGCATTGCCGGCCCTTAGGACGAAGTCACGGCTGAGGGAGATGACCTCCACGGGCACCTCGCTGCCTCGCTGCCGGTACCAGGCGATGGAGACGTGGCTGTGCTGGGCTGTGCTCTTGGACACCTCGCACTTCAGCTCCAGGGAGTCGCGCTCCACTTTGTTCAGCGTCTGCGGGACTGCCGTCACTCGCAGCGAGTCGGGGATCACTGCACCAAAAGGGGACAGGGAAACACAGCCTGAGAGTTAGCACTCAGGCTCCGCCGAAACGCGGAGTCGCAAGCCCAGGCGTGTCAAAGGAGAGCTGAGGGAGTGGTTTCTTTTTATGGTTGCAATTAATTGCTAAGTATTAGCTAAGCCCTGTTAGCTCACATCTAGCCCCCAAAAAGAGGAGAATCGCCCTCAAAGCCAACGGACGGCAGCACATACTCCAGCGCTGTGCTTAAATTCCCACTCAATGGCACAGGGTTTTCCATCACGCTGCAGAGCAGCACAGCTTAATACACCCACTTCCCATCAAGGCATTTCATGACAGGTGGCCTCTCCTTCACCCTGTGCCCCCCAGCATGCTTTGTGACATCCCTCCTGCCCACATCCTTCAGCCACTCCTTAGCCCTGCACCATAGTCTTTGCCCCTCAGTCACTCGTGTGGCCAAGCTAAACATATTTAGTTCCTTTAATCTTCCCTCATAAAAAAGTCAGGAGATCCAATTCCCGTCTCCTTTGTTTATATCGTTTCATGTTTTAATGACCCCCTCAGGCCAAACGAAGGGGTTTCTCCATTTGGAGGGAAGTGGTTCCTGGGAGGGCAGCAATGCAATTGCAGCCTGCCCAGCGCCTGCTCCCGGGACACAGACGTGCCAAGGTGCTTGGGAATAAAACTGCTGGCTACTTTTCCAGTTGATTAACTAGAGGAAAGGAAGTACAGCCACTAAAATTAGGATGAAAAAAAACCTGCAGCTCCTCAACCTTTGTTTGACTTTAGCAAGCATCTAAATTTTAGCAAGAGGTTCTACCACCAGAAGGTAGACTTTCTTAAAAACACACCTTTACAGACTCTGTTGTCTCAAGAAAGCTCACGTGGAAAGAAGAATGCAAACCTTCTCCCCGGCTCTGCAGACAAGGCAGCGTTAGCAAGCCTGTTAATGCCCATGGTTTCGCCATGTATCGGTGGAATATAATTAACATATCTCAGTTCGGTTTCATTGACAGCACTGGAAGATTTGACGAAATTAGCTGAGCTGCCAAAAGCTGCATCTGTTTCATTCAAGCACAGCTACAGAAAGCAATGAGCTGCAGTGGAGACAACCGCTGGCGTTATTTATGGCAGAAAAGTCAAAAGCAGAAGAGGGGAAAGAAAACAGCCACGAGATGGAGTAAACGAGAGGGAAATCCTCCCGTGTCCAGCCCGGATGGGAGCATTTGCTTTTACCACACATCGTCTACCCAGGGAATTTCCTGCCCGACAGGGAAATCACCCGGTAAGGCCATTTACATTGCAGTCCATTGCCCCTGTCCCTGTAGGCACATCTCCAACTCCCTCCCTTCCCCTCATCTCCTTCGCCAGGGCTCCCATCCTCTGCTCACCAGCAATAGCCTCTGGCAGACCACGGCCAGGATCCCGCCTCACTTTGCCTTTCCCCCTAACCTCCAGCTCCCAAACCCGCAGTGACAGCAGCAACTAACCTTGCTGGTTCATGCCGCCTGCACGATAAGATTTAAATCTCTCATTTCAAACCTTTCTGAATAATTTCCAGAGCTGCGCAGCTCCTTTCTCTTTGCCCTGCAGCCACAGGCTCTTACAACTTTCCTTACGTTATTTGAATAAATTAAACCCGATTGCCATCTTGCTGGAGTTACTTTCCCGCGGAGCTGCTTCAAAGGCAGAGCTCCCTGCCCCACCACAGCCTCCGCAGAACAGCTTATGGGGAGAAAGCGGGTACCTGCGAAGAAAGCATGCCCGTCCTCCTTCCCCCAATTTGAGAGCCTGGCACACCCCACCAGCTGCCTGTGTGCCCCCCACCCCAGTCCTGCTCAGAAGCACAGCCACTCTCTGGCTAAGCACAAGGCAGAGCGCTACTTACTCGGGAGCCTATCCAGCTCCGTGGGACAAGCCAGCTCACACTTGAGCAGAGGGCAGGCGTTTGGCTTGCCAGACGCGGAGCTGCCCGATCTCCAAGCAGGTTAGAGGCTGGCACAGGCACCATTTTGCCACCTGGAACTGTGACTTTGTACTTCCAGGTCATAACCTGGCTGGAGGGTCAGTATCTTTTACACCATGTGGGCAAGCTATTGCAAAATGGGTTCCTGGAGAAAAATCAGGAGGCGGTGGTGGTGGTGGCGTGCTGTTGAAAGCTGTAATTTAACGGTGGTAACGCCTGACATGCTGTGCTGCATTCCTCCTGCTCTTTTGGTTAAAAAAGTCAATGAGATCTTCCCAGTTAGAGGAACTGGTGGGACCTTTTGGGTTGCATGCAGCATTGAGGCCATCATCTTGAATCAGCCTGGCACAGGGATACGTTCAGTTGGTGCCACCTTCCTAACCAGGAGGACCAGAGACCCATTCACTAAACGAAAGCCCAGTTTTCAAAGGATCAGATGTCAGGGGGTCAGACAAGAACCCTGAGCTGGCCAGGCCAGGAGGAAGACTCTGTGCTTCGCACCACTGCTCTCGCGCTTGGCCAGCGAGGCATGAACGACTGTTTTAGTTATACGGTGAGATGCACCTCGGGTACCAGGTTTGGGGATGGGGGAAGCGGGTAGGAGAAAGGGGAAAACGCCGTTCTCAAGAGGCTGCTCAACGTGGCAGCAGGTCACAGCTCATTTCAGAAGCCCGATGAGCATTTCGTTCTGAGTACTGTGGGGCACCGGGGACTCCCACAGCGAGGCTGCAGGTCTGTCAGGGCTCACGCACCACCCCAAGGCACAGATCCCACCGGCCTGCGACAACAAGTGGGGATGGTTTAGCCCATCAGGCTGGAGCAGATCAGGCCTGGAAGTCATGGAGCGAAAAGTAAGCAGGGAACACCGCAAAGGCTCTCACCAGGGCACGACATCGCACATGCGGAGGTGTGTTATCAGAAGACCATGGCAGCGGGATTGGAACTAGATGATCTTTAAGGTCTCTTCCAACCCAAATCATTCTTTGATTCTGTGATTCTAAGAGAAGCTCCTCCCAAGCCAGTTGCCCTGCTCAGGCTTCAAGGACACCAGTTTGCATACCAGGACGCGAGTAACTCTTTGCATGGTGTTGACCAAGGAGCCCTGGCTCCGCTGCCAGCATCATGCTGCCAAGCTGCCCGCACTCATCCTGCAGCCACCCACCATGGGAAGCACCAGCGTTTCTGGGGGCACTCTGCAAGCTGAGCCTCACTTGAAAGCAAGGGTAAGCTTAGACGAGAGTCCTTGCTGTGCGAAGGGGAGCAGGGCCACATCTAAATTAGAGCTGAGATGGATGCTGCAGGACACATCCTGTTGCCCGCTCTTTCTCATCTCCTGCCTCCTTCTCCCCTCTTTTCAACGTGCTGCCCAGGCAGCCTGCCTTGCACTTCCCCCAGCATCCAGCCTTGCCTCCTCCTTGTCCCCCAACACAAGTGCACCCCTACGGCTGTCATGACCCTCTGGAGGTGTCAGCACAGCTTCCCCCTTTCCAGCATCAAGGCTAGGTTTGGCAGTGAGCAACTGGACAGGGAGATAAGCAGCTGAAGAGCACTTGCTGGGAGCAAACCTATTGCGCTACCGCCATCCCTGAGCCAGTCCGCTGAACGTGGTCACAGCTGACAGGACTGAGCTTCTACTTACAGCACCGAAAAAAAGAGCAAGAAATCCAGCATTTCCTACCTGTCCCCAAGCCACAGGTTACTGCAGAGAGAAGGCACTGGGACAGGTACTTGGCGGTGGGTGGGCTGCTAAGCACAGGGTGCTCAAGACCCCCACCAAGTTTTTAAAGCTCCTGAAATATTAAATGTAAATATTGCCACTAGAGGGTGTCAGGGACCCAGCGAGAGGGTCCCAGGGCCCGCTGCCTGGACGAGGAGGAGGAGAGAGCCTGGAGATGCTCCCCTCTCCCCAGGGTGGTGCCCACAGGCATCCCTCCTCCGGAAGCCTGCACACACCACTCCACTCAAATCCACCTCAAACGCATGCATCTCAACAACATGCAATCAGTGAGCACTCGGTGAGCTAATCAAGGTTAACTTTAGAAGAGGAACTGGCTTACAGTCTCCTAGAAAACGAGAGGGGAGCAGAGACTGGAATTCCTGGGTCTGGACTTGGTCCACACCTCAACACGCTTTCCTCTGAGCTCCTGGTGCCATGCTGAACTCTGTCTCACACAAAGACCATTCACCGTCTCCCTTTTCCCTAAGGTTGCTCTGGTTCATTCTTGGTTATCCAAAATCCCAACCACCTCCAAGGGGTAGGCTATCAAAGCTTTTACGGGCTGGGCACAAACCAGAGAGCTACCAAAATCTCATCTACTTGCAGGCAAGGCAGCAAACCTGCCTGAGATGCTGTTTCCTTGTTAAGTGATGCAGCAGGAGCGACAGGCTGGGAGCCAGAGGCTCCCTAGCTTGAGCTGGTAAAACAACACTGTGAAAATCATTTAGCACCATGGCAGCCTTACACTGGAGGCTCTTCAGGAGTAAAGCAAGTTACGCAGGCTGCCCAGCACTGTGGCACTATCTCAGGGCCACTGTAGGACAAGTGAAATCCAGCAGCCTCTTCTTCCCTTGGATTTCATATAGCTTTTACCACTTTAGAGGCACTGTATGGTGCTATCTTTTGTCGCCAGCTGCCCACTTCATACTATCTGGACAGAGCTAAGCTTGCCAAGTGTCAAGTGTGAACTATTTAGGAAGAACAAATAAGCGTACTCCCTACTCCTAGGAAGCTGCTTCTGGCTGAGAAATACTGCTTTGGATTTTACAGGGAATTAGTGCGAGAGTTATGTTTCCATCTGCCCCGCGACATCTTGTTGCCCCGCAGCGATCCCAGCTCAGCACCACGAACCTCCTTCCCCAACCCCTCTGGTTGTGCGTGCAAGACAGAAGCAAGCTGCTCAAGAGGAACTGCAGTGCCAGTGCCACCAGTCCAGAGGTGAGCGCCAGCAGGCACTGAATGGCACCACGAACGGCAACGCGGGTGGGAGCGCAACGTTTCATTATTACCCTCTGCAATCTGCTAACCCTCCTGCAGCCACTTGTGTCAT